ATACTTACAATGTGCATAAAAATTAAGCTATAAAACTTTGTACTAAAAACAAGTGAAGTAAAGACTTATGCCATCTTGCTTGTCTTGAATCTCCTATTTGTGATTTACTTTTAATTTACTTTCGCAATTATAGTACTGAATTTATCATTAGTTTATTTGGACTGCATTCATTACTGTTGGAAGAAGGGATATTGTAAAGCAGTGGAAGATGAGCAGCACTTCAACTGGATATATACAGTATGATTGTTTTGCAGTGTATGACAGCTCAGTGCAGTAAAGTTGTGCTACTGTCTCTTTGTGTGTGTGTAGAATTACCCACATTATGGGGACCAGAACTTGTTTACACACATGCATTGTGAGGACCCACCTTCCTCATGGGGAACAGATGCTAATCCCCACCATGCAAATCATTGAATTTTAGGGTGTCTACTTGGTTTAAGATTAGGGTTAGGCAAGTATTAGTTATGGTTAGGGGGTTAGGGTAATTCTCCAGGAAATGAGAGTAAGTCAGTGTAAAATCCCCACAAGGAATGGAAACAAATGTGTTTGTGTGTGTAGTATAGTTGTCATCTCACCCCAAACATTTGCCGGAGGTCAGGGTCTCGGAAACGGAAAGGGATGTTGGAGACGTGTAACCTCTTGGGCTGCTGCTTCTCAGACGAATCACTGGTTTGCAGGTGGAGCTGCTGGGAGCCATCCGTCTGCACAACCTCCTCTGCTTGCTGCAGGGAAACAGACCGTATGACACTTATTAGCTCCTATCATGCTAAAAAAAAATTGAGAGGAGTAAAAAATGACCCATGTGAGAGGGAAAACCAGATTGGGCTGGAATGACAAAAAAATAAAATGAAATAAAAAAATGCAGTACAATAAAAGAAGACTAACAGGACAACATGGTAAAATATTCAGAAAGTTGAAAAGTGCATGAAAGACAAGGACAGGTGGGCATCAGACAGACCTGTTAAAACTCTGTGTAGCTTTAAATGTTCAGGTCAGAATTTTTTTTTTATTACTGAAATATTCCCCCTATCTTAGCTGCCTAAGAGGAATAAGAAAGACACTTAATAGCCTATGACATGTCTTCACCAAAGCGTACCCTGTAATAAGGAGAGAAACAAAGTGAAGGGTAGCACTGTAGCTTGACAGGAGCTCATTCACAGCATGTAGATCACCTTTTGGAAGCACATTATGTTTATATAAAACAGTTTCACACCTCAAAGTCACAAAAATACATCACAGATTGCTACAATGTCTGAATTTTAAACTATTGATAACAAACGCAACAAACCCTGAATTAAAAATGTAGCCTATATGAAATGTATTTATTTCTTTAAGTATAAAAGTACAGCAATAATGAAATTGATGAGAGTAATGCTAAATTTCTCACCACCATATAACAAATTTGTATGAAATAAACATCACTGGGACTGTCTGACAGCAGCAGGAAATATGATGTTATACTCATTAGACTACGTATAACATCATCAGAATGGACATAACAGACAGACCTTCCTTAACATAGACAACTACATGTGTGGTGTATTATGCAAAATACCTGTTATTCATTTTATTTCATGTGATGCAACATCTTTTGCAACATCATATGCATTGATACACAGGTCTCTAATTTACTTCAGTCATACAGTAACATTCAATAGAACGTAGAATCTGTGCCAGTTCATTCTCTCTCCTCCTCTATTTTCAGTATGTTTACATGATACAGTCAGTATTTAATAGACATTTTCACTGCTGGGCTACCAATTATTATACAGTAGCAAAAACAATTGGTGAGTGTTTGGTAAAAAAAAAACTGTATGCTTACAATATGCCGAGAGAGAAATGAGCAGCCCAGTCATATTATTTTATAAAAAAAATATACATAAATAGGCAATATACTTATTTGACCCATTTACATCCAAACAGTCAATTTTTGCACTTTCTTTGCAGACACTTGGCATTAACTTTAACATTCCATCTGTTTTAAAGGTTCTGCACTGACTGCCCTCAGTAACCACTGTAGCGGAAATGACTACACTTCTGAACATGGATATTAATATTTAATATTCAATACCTTGTTAGATTAGGGCACCAGATAGTTTGATAGTTTGAGTACCATCACACTGTGATTAAGTGGTTAACAAGAGTAATTAATTCAGTCTTGATCTGATCATTCTGGAATTCTCAGAACATTGACCGATTGACTGAAAATAGGACAGACTCAAAGATGACATAAGAAATAGCCAGTTCTAGTCTAAATAAATTTATTTACATTATGTACACAGGGAAAATGACTGGGATGAGAAAGGCAATTCAAATGGTACATTACACAGAGATGACTGAGTTTATGGGATGGACAGGACAGTCTATTGTTAGCGATGGCGATGACGGAAGATGAGTCTAGAATTAGATTAAATTGAGATCTAAACCTTGTGATTTATATGGCAAAATTGGAAGACTACGGTTTTAAGAGAAATATCAGCTATTAGCCATGAGGTCACTTAGCTGTTATCAGGAGTTTGCCATTTGCTCTGGAGGTTCCATGTGGCCGGTTGGGAAAGCCGCCTTTGTTCTAAAGCCTATGGGCCAGAGTAGAGGTCTGCAGAGGGTCTGAAATTCCAGAACGCCATTTAGAGAGGGAGCTCAGAAGGTATCCCTCATCTGATAGTTGCGAGAGGGAGCTCAGAAGGTATCCCTCATTAAATAGTGGAATTGGAATTGGAATTGGAATTGATAGTTGCTCTGATAGTGTCTGGAGTTTCACAAATAATTTGGCTTACTTAAAATCTACTTTTGATTTTGTTACAAAAAGTTTCCTTGTTCTAGACTTCGGCTGCAGAGCTATTCAAGAATTACATTACTTCAGGTCGCTTCCAGTTTGCCTGCTTTACAAAAATAGATTTAAAAAATCACCTTACATTGCTAAATAGAAAAAAGGCACTTCCTGTGGTGATGTGAGCATGCAATCTAAATACAAATAAATTTAATACAAAAACACAAAAAACATGCAGACAAGAAACAAACACTTTCGGAGGCTCAGACATTTAAGGATAATCACCTTTATTGGCCAAGTATGTTACACACAAGGAATTTGTTTCCGGTACAGAACCGAGGCAGCCATCTGCGGCGCCAACTCAACTGATGGCTCTAACCATTTGGGGGGCACTTCGACACGTGGACTGCAGGCACCAAGAACCTTCAACCTTCCGATTGGGAGATGACTGTTCTACCCACACCACTATCACCTGCCCAAGCAATTTTTTTGTTATTGTTTCCTGAAGACTTGCTGAGGAGTGGCAATGACTCGTGCAGGCATGCGACAGCCTGAGCAAAGACTTTGTCTACTGGTTCAGAAGTCTGCCAGTTGCAGTCTTCTGACTGGTTGAGATTCTGGTGTGATAACAACGAGCTCTGGATTGACCCTGCAGGGGTGTACTATAAAAGAGCTATACCCAACTTACAGATGCCGCAGAGTGAGACATTCTCTTAAGCGCATTTTATGAATTAGTGTGCCTTACTTAGTTTATGCTGTACATACCTTCCTCCACCATGGCTGATATGTTTGAAATACACATTTATACAACCAGAGTGTCAAATAACATTTAAACAGACAATTTTAAGCAGCACAATTTGACATGAAACTCATATGTGGATTTTCTGTGGAGAGAAAAAGAACTGTTAACTTTGAGAATAAAAGACAAAGGCAATCGATTACCAGCACACAATCATTAATATAAGGAAATCAAAACACAATTTCACATTTAAGTCCTATTAATATTTTCACTTGTCCTAAGAGGTGAGAAGGAGAAAAGGTTCTGAGCTAGTTTTATGGGGGAGGCCACATTACAGTGTGGAGACAGGGAAGTTCTTGTGTCTGAGTGTTCCTAGGAAGGAATCAGATAAGGCAAGCAAAGGTCTTGGACTTTTTTGGGTTAATTCAAACTTATTGTCTAAGGTCAGAGGTGTGAGTCGAAGATGTGTATTCTAAAGCAATAAAGTCACGAGGAAAAGGGGTTTGGGTCAGTCGTATTCATGGACACGTGGCTAGGTCCTTTTGATATCCACATCTAGTTTGTTTGTAAAGGACGGTGTGATAGCAGAGCCTGGTCCTCCTGCACTTGGGGTAGTTTGCATGGCTGTCTTTAGCTGAAGCAAAACAGACCATCAGCTTAGGTATGGGCCAAGGCCTGGAGTCTTTCCTGCCTGTAAATGCCTAGAATTAAAATCAGTCAGAAAGAGAGAGCCTCGCACACAGTATCTGAGCTGAACAAATCATCTAATCTTCTAATTTGATTGGGAAAATGAATTCACATATCATAGCATTGTTATGCATTTTACTCTGCCAACTGGTGACCCAATAAAAATGGGTCTATGATCCAAAATGAGTGGCAACTAGGGGAACACAGGAAAGCAATAGATTCCAAATATATATTTTGAGGCAACTCGGGTCCCAGACAATTATAAATTAACAGGCACCTCAGGAGATTCAGGTAAGAGAACATTCTAGCCTGCATCTCCCTGAGTCCTGCTTCCTCGTTTAGATACGGGTCAGCTGTAACATTTCCGTGGTACTTTGCCTGGCCTGCTCCCACCACAACAAATTGAGATTTAAGGGCAGCTTCAGAACATTCCAGTGTGGTAGACAGGCTTGCACTGTAAGAATAAAGATCTGTTCTTTCACATTACAGTGCATTTCAGGGACCTGTGTGTTGCATGTTTGCCTCTGCATCAGCCATACTGTAAGAGGTGGTCCAAGTCAGTTTTAACACAAATGCAATGTCAGTCAAAAAAGAGGACCAAAACTGCACTGAGCCACCTAATGAGCATAAACTCTGGCACTGCACCTGCAGGACAATAGAGCTTTTCAGTATCGTACAGTCATTTGTGAGTATGTGCCAGTAAATCGCAACAAACATTCAATAAAGTACTGAATACAGCTGATGTTAAACTTCAGCAGCAGTCCCTTCTGTCACATCAGAGGTAAATTGTGAATGTTTGTTTAAATTTCCATTTCCATTTCTCTCCTCCCTGATTTTTGTATCCCTGAATAAGAATACCTCAAAATACATATTGCATGAGACCAAAAGTGCACGTTCCTGAGGTGCTGCATTTCTGCTGTTTCTATGCCACAAAACCACACTGCCACTCCTTAGTAAATATGAACACATGCAATTTTACTGTTTAGCACCAGAAAATGAGACACAAAACCTTAGTAGATATCCTCCCTAGTGTCACCCTGATTACTCTCTCAGTTGCCATTAAGCCTGCCTCTCCTCTCAGATGGAGATGAAGATGAGGACAGATTCCTGTTGTTTGACTAGAATATGACAGGCTCAGCAGGGCCCTACACCTGATCCCTTGATTGTTCCTCATCATCAGTTGTACCATGGATACATACAGTAGTAGTATCCAGTGAAAGTGATAAGGTCAGCAGTAGGACGAGGTCAGTGATGAAGGTCCCATAACTTTAAGGAAGTGCTTATTTCAACCTAAACATCACCAAGCAGTGTTGTGCCTATACGTAAAAAGTTGCTTATGTATCAAAATCTAATGAAACTAGAATGCTTCCGTAATCATAAATGTGTGTTTATGATTGTTACCATGACAACATATGTCTGGTATGCCTACCAACAAAGTAGATTAAGAAGGAGAGGAACAACATCTCCTCTGAGTCTATAAGAACTGTTTCTTTTAGTAATGGCGGACCATGGGAATGTCAAAAAGT